GTATTCTTTTTCGTATTAGTGTTAGTACTGGCACTACCATTAGTAGTACACTCTATTTGAAACCTACTACTACTACTACTACTACTACACCGATTGGAAACCTATCCAAAACTGATACAAATCTAACTTCGTGCAAGTAAAGTCTAATTAAATCAATTGAAGCTAGTTTTGGCAGCTTTCACGGATTCATATATTTGCCAGTATCTGGCCTTATTACCTTAGAGCTAAAGGCTCTGGGCCTTACACATTTGAATAAACATGATTAAATTCCTTTATTCTTTCAGGCCTTGGGCCCTTTGAATCTAAATTGAATTTTATTGAAATCCTCTATTCTTTGAGGCCTTGGACATTTTTAGTTGAGTGAAAAATATTGAGAATTTTGCAGTTTTGCCGGCTGGAGAAGTGTATTAATATTGCACCCCCTTAAAACAATTCCTTATTGAGGATCCGGGCCTCTGCTCAAAAATTAAACTGACCGACCCTATGATTTCTAACGCTCCCGCAAAAACGGTTTACAGGGAGCTGTTTTTTTTGACTTTGCGGATTTCACGGTTTTCGCGGAGTTCACGGATTCATGGATTTGCTAGTATCTGGATTTATAGCCAAGGGATCTGGGCCTTTTCAATTTATACGAATTCTTCTTAAGAAATTGGCAGCTGACGGAGTGAACTATTAGTCCGAACCCCTCAAACAATTGCTTAGTGCGGATCTGGGCCTCTGCTGGACTACCCCCCTCAAAAATTGACGGACCCTATGATTTCTGATATTAACGAAAAAGCGGTGTGTATGGATCTGGTTGCTCTGCGTTTACGGATTTCCGGGTCTTCTGAAATAAGAAGGTAAAGGCTGTGGTGCTAGAGCTCTGGAATCAAAAGCCTTTCAGGCCTCGAAAGCAAACCTGACTTAGGTAAGACGTTTTTGTATTTTGGCCACAGAAAAGTTTTTTTTCCCGAACCCACCAAATCAAAGCAGATTCTGAATAGTTTCCTTGAAAACATATAATTCAGAGCCCCTTTACAAACGGTGATTCAACATTATCGTTTTTTGAAAAGACACTCGCCTTACTTGGTTCAATCACCAAACAGTGCTGCTCGCATGTTTTTCTCAGCCCCCTCTAAGCCTCAACGCATGCCAAGGCTCGTCCAAGGCATGGTTGTATGACCAGGCTGGCGTCGCACATTTGAGTCCACAAAGAAGGATTGAAGAGTTGGTGACATATCCGGATGACCATGACACCTCTGCTTTTCGAGGTGGAAACCTTGTGTTAAAGCTTGTAGTTCCAATTTCTTTCCTTGCGTGAAGCTGCTTAGGAAACCCAAGCTTGTTTTGTGCTTCTGGTTTGCAGCCAAAATGGCTGCATGCCAGGCAGATCTGCATGTTGTCGAAGCATGCAGAGAGTTTAGCCTTGCTTGCATGTAAGACCTGGTTGCAAAACACTTATCCCGAGATAAGCCAAGGTGGCTGTGGATCTACGATGCGAATATACAGGGCTTTCGTCTTGCCCGGAAACTGTCCAACCCTGCTGCCAAGCGTTAATACAAGTAGTCAGACTTTCCTTTAATCAGATTTCTTCCTATGCATGTGACAAGCCCGCAAGGGAACATGGGCACAACTGTAAAGATGAGGCCTTAAGAAGAATGAATGTGCTCCAGCGGGGCAGTGCCGCGCAGATCAAACGTCCGAGAGCAGCCTCGTGAAAAGCTGACGACAAGCAAACGGGGGGAATGAGATTGCAATGTGAAACCAAAGTGAGTTGCCACCTACTTCTTAACATACTTTGCCTGGGGCCTTTGAAGGACGAATACACGCGAAATGGATATGGACGCCCTGCACCTCAAGACGTGGTTGGATGCTCCCCTTGTCGGGTGCTTGGATGTAGAGTCGTTTAATGAGGATCGGATAGGTCACCGGCAAACAGTCTCCGCTTAGAGGTTGAATTGCAGGGTTCATCTACTTCACATTCATCCTGCATGCCCTGGTAAGGACACACGTTCGGAATTCCAAATCAAGGGTTCATCTGTCAGAAAACAAGAGGACTTACTTGCTTCATGACTGGACACGCTGCCTCAAGCAATTCCTTATTATCAAAACGAGGAGTAGCAGCAGCAGTTACGCTACGGCATTCTGTGACGATTGCGGGCATCAACCTTTGTTCGATTGGCATTTAGCTTAGGTCCTCTTTCAGCTTTTCCTCTGCGGTAGTACTACGGTGTCCACTAAACCACCCCTAGACCGGTGTGTTTTGGTGAGTGCAAGCGCAAGCGAGCGATGGTTGCCTTGGATTTTTTGCGTGTCAGCCCAAAGGACATCTCACGGGCACTATCAATACCCCGGCAAGAGAGCTCGCTAGCAACGGCATGAAGTATGAAGCAGTACTGCGAGTGTACTTGGAAGAAGAGGCGCTTGAGCAGCACTAGACCAGTGGGATGGGCAACGGTTGTAGCATGTTGTAGCTGTGGTAGCAGCTGCAGCAGCAGTGCCAGAGACATTATCGCTGCCGGGAATGGTTCCTTCCCGTCAACAAAATCCATAGCCCACATCGCAGCGAAGGGAGCGATGACTCCATGGACGACACGACACCGATGTGGCGTCCCTGCTGCGATTCTGACACGGTGCCTCCATCCATCCCCGTGCCATGCTGGGTGTGTACCTCAAAAATAAGGGTGCGAAAGAGAAAACAGGCTGTAAACACGGGAGGTTGCAAAGAAGAGTGCACGATGCGCGGTTGATTCACACTTTGCATCACACCTATACCTGGGCGAGTCCGAGAAGGATGCCTTGGGGAGAGTCCCCAAGGCATGACGCCATATGAGGGATGATAAAAAACTCCGTAATCAGGTTTAAGAGGGAGCCCGTCCTTGAAGTCAAAACCTTTGTAAAACGATAAGAGTAAAAGCAAACGATAACGGCGAAAGTTTGTAAAACGATAAGAGTAAAAACAAACGATAGCAGGATTAAGGGTCATTTAAATGGTTTTCATCACCCCTCATATGACGTAATGCTTTTGTAGCCCCAACATCCCAAGTCCCATCAAGATCCGGATTGAGAAAGTGCATTAAATTGGAGGATTGGAGGATATTGTAGGGCTCTTCTGTATAAACTGCAAGTTCACTCAATTCAAGGATCCTTGCCTCGACACAGCCTTTCTGCGGATTTACATGCGCAATGTCCATGGTTCAACTGTCTCCAATCCTGACCTTGGCTCAGAGGTAGGTATTGTAGGCATTGATCTTATCGTCAGCGCAATGCAAGGACAACCTTTGACCGGACGCCTGTCGTACTTCTAAATTCTGCTTCCGCTTGCAGTGTAGACAGGTCCACAGCTACATGGGCACAATCGTGCAGCTCGCAGGCCCGAACTGAACTTCAGGCAAGTGAGATCAGAGGTACCAGGCGTTTCTTGTACGGATCTTCCCAGAACCCGGCTGGCACTTCAGTCCCAGGCCTGATCACTCCTCTTAGGCTTAGGCAGTGGCTCGAATGCAAGCTATGGCCGGCCAGTGGCAATCGTCTGGTCGCAAGCAAAGCTGCGTCGGACCACCAGGCGGAAGGTCTTCCAAACGGGTGGTCCTTCCTTGAGACTTGTAAACGCTATCGCGCCCCCGCCTTGGCTGTTAGTTTGCAGACCGCAGAAAGAGAAGCTCCTCTGAATGAGAGCCTCCGAAACACTCTTCATACAAGGCTCCTTTAATCAGCACAACTGTTTCTGGAAGGAAACTGGACTGCCTGCAGTCTGTCCCGCCTGTGAGGGCTGTAGCGCGCCCGTTACAAAACTAGGTGAGCTCTTGGAATACTTGAAGCAGAAAGGGCCAACAGCAATCGTAGCGCAATGAAGAAGAGAAGCCATGCCTAGTGCTTCGTTTAACCGTTTAACCAGGAGTGGGGGCCGGGGGTCCCGGGAGGGACCGCCCCTGAAGGACCCTGCAACACAGGAAATGCTCACCAGCCCTACTTCCAAGCTTTCGAGCCTTGGAAGTTATGGAATCTCGTTGCTGCTTGCTCAGCCTGCAGAAGCGTACTGGGAGGATGGACTGGCCATGGTTGGTGGAGTCCTGGGGATTTTAAGGAGAGCTAGAGGCGTTGAGGCTGGACGCCCAGGCAAACTTGCAGATTCAAGAGATTCAGGTCTAGCTCATAGCTGTCATAGCTCGTTCTAAAGCCTGGCTTTTTGCCTGGTGCTGAGGGTTGTTTATTTAGCTTCTTCACATTTGCCTAATGGACACTCCAAATGCCCCTTCACCCGCCCTCCCTGGATGCTTTGTAACAGAGCCGGCTACGGCTACGCAACAGCGATCTTATTCATACTGATCATCCGCAATCTTATATTCATACCGATCATCAGAGTTTCCGAAAGTGACGAGAGGCAAGACCACAAAGAGCTGCAAACAAGGGCAAAGCAAGAAAAGCTAAGAAAGGGAAGCGAGCAGCAAGACTTCATCCTTCTGTTTTGGGGGCTCTGCCTGGGGTCTTGTTATGGGTGCTAGGAGCTGCCAGCAGCTTTCGTCTTCGCGTTGCACACTGGGGAAGAGACGCAGCATTAAGGCTCCTTTGCCAGAGCAACGTGCTCATCGCCTCAATCCGAACCCAAAACGAGCACTGAGACAGAGTGAATACACAAGAGGTCGAAAAAAAAACTACAGGCCTTCTCTAGGGAAAGGTAGCAGACATAGGACTCTCAGAACTAGGCATGCAGTTGTTCAACTTCTTTAAGCCCTTGCACTTGCAATGGTTCGACTCGACAAGTAATGACCGCGTAGATAGCAGCGAGCTCCGTGGCCTAGTTGGCTGACAATCTTCAGTGTCAGAATCTTGGCTGACTCTTCCACCCTTCCTGAAGTCCCGGAGGCTGTTGGACTGGCAGCGGCACATCCCAGCGGACCCCGATCCTCAGAAAGCATTGGCAAGTGAACGGAAAGTGGCTGCATTTGATGTCGGACAGAGGTTTTGTTGAGGGATGTCATCAATCATGCTTTTGAACTGAGGGCTGTAGAGCTTGGTTCGTAGCGTTGCACAAAAAGTTGAGACTCTGTGTACACAGGCAGCACGAAGACTCACTCAAACGTCAGGCCGGAAGCACAACGCAGTCCCGGAGAAGGCTTGCGTGCAGGCCTTTTGTTGCAAATTAGTAAATTGCAACCCACTCAAAAGATTGCAAAAGCACCATCAAGGTGTTGCTGTGCTTCACGAGGCTTCCTTGGCTCGCATCCTCAGATACGCTGCTATCAATCCTCTGGTTTACGGAGCCCCCAGTGTACTTTGGCGTTGTGACCGATCTGCGCGGCATCACGCAGTGACTTCTCGCTTTCAGCGGCAGTTGAGGCAAACTGAAGGCCCCACTCCAACACTCGCAGAACAATCTTTCACTCATGTACAGTGAATCTGCACGAGGGCTTGTGCGGTGACCTCAGGTCAAGCCTTATGCTTGCGCCAATTAAAGGCATGCTGATTCAGTGATGACCTGCTTGCCCTACTTGCCCACCCGCAAGGGCTTAGATCAAGTTCGCCAGCAGGCATGCGCGATGATTGCTGGGCCAGCAACGCAACGGAAGGCAGTGATGTGTGAGGGTCTCAGCATGCCGCAGTCATTTATAGGCTGGGCGCCGGCGTCTTCTCACCAACGTACTGAGCGGACAATGGTGACCAATGTCACTGCTAAACAGGCTTTTAAAGTCTGCTTACCTCAAAATTCCTCACCGTCTTGTTATTGTCAACTTCTTCCCGAAGGTCTGTCTGAGAACAATGCTTCCAAAGGCATTCGCCTGTTACTTCTCCAACCGAGTACTCAGTATTTCAGCGGCTAACAGCTAACATGAGGTTAAGATGTTGTTCTTTCTGTCTTGTCTGGCTGGCATCGACAGTTCGGGCATACTTATAGCCTGCCATGAACGTAGCATGGGTACTGATGCTAGGCCCCTGTCTGCAAACAGCATGTCTCTGAATTTCATAGGTGTTCGGCTTAGGTCTGAAGGATTTTGTTTCAGGCCTCCGGTCCACATCAAAATCCCGTGAAGGTTCGACATGGGTAATGCCTGAGGCCCTAACCGCCCTAACCCCTTTCATGTGTACATGTATGTCCAAGCAGCGCCCCACCACAATTCGAGAACGGGCAGCCTCACCTCTGCCAGATGCCTTTCTTCTGCTCCTGGCCCATAGCCATGTGTACCTTGCTTGGCAGTTCATTGCATCGCATCCCTTGATAGACTTCTCACGCGAACTCCAGTGCTGGAGTCGGGACATCTTCCCTTGCGCTTGTCATTCTCTCAGCAAGTTCTCAAACTTTGCCCAGGCTGAACACAAACTCCGAAAGAGCGCCAGCGCCTCGACAGCAGGAAAGACGTCTGTGGACACCTCAGGGCTTGACATGGAGCTTGGAGAACTGCTTTTGCAAGAAGCCTGTATTGTGGATCTGTCTGGAAGTTTTAGCAGGTCCAAAGTTGAACCGATGCTTAGATTTAGACCCATCGCTCATCACCGCCGGGAGGTCAGCAAGGGCTGCAATGAAAACCGTTTTTTCCAGGAGAACTTTGCGACTTGCTAGCTGTGTTGAAGGGCTTCATGGAAATAAGGCCATGTAACTTTTGTACCCCATGGAAAATAAATTCGAACCTGCATCTAAACTGGCGACTTTTTTCCATGCTATGACGATGCATGCTGACGGATTTCATTCAAAGGAAGCCGTGAACGAGGATCCAGGCAAAGAAGGCCTGGACATCAAGATGGGATGCAGGGTGGGGCTTCAAGTCTGCTAGAGTCTGTCAATGTTTAGAAAGGAGAACTTGTGAAGTTCTCCAGGCCAAGCCACCGTAAAGATTCTTGGCTGCGGGCAAGTAACGAGAAGCACGTGAAAATGGAGCTCTCATGTTCACACACCATGACAGCATATGTACTGTACTCACACTTTGTTAATGGGAATTTCGAAGGATTATTAATCATTTATCAAAATCACAATGGACTGGGAACGATTCCTTTGAGCACTTGATACCGAAGGCCTTGGTGATGGCGCATTTGAAAGCAGCTGTGCCAAGTGACGTGGATGACGTGGCAGGTTCTGTTTTTACAGCTAGCCGGCCCCGGTATATCTTCTCTAGGACAGAGGCCATCGACTTGAGGGAAATTCCTGATCTCTTTTTTTCACGTCTTCCATCCCCCCAGAGTTGGAACACTTCACCTCGGGTCCGTGGCCCTTCCGTTGGGCCTATTGAGTTCCAAATGCGAGCAGCGCACTGGCATTCTTTGTGTGATCTTGTGAGCACATTCAAAGGCAAAACCCTGCATGAATTGTGCGTGAATCTGGTGACGCGTCTAGGTTTGCGGGAAGCACGTTTGTCGACACTTGGGAGCATATTTTTAGGCCGTATTTTGGCTTCCTCAGCTGGATCATTCGGATTGCGCAAATTCAGGCAATCTGCCCGCAATCTCTCCCCAGGTACTGCTGTCCTACTGCCAAGGATTCTTGGCGGCAGAGAGCATTTGCTGAGAAGCCAAAGCACCCAAAGGGACAGTCTTGCGACTTGTGCCAACACATCTGACGTATGCACCGCCGCCAGAGCCAACCTAAGCTCTGGCAGCCTCTGGCATCTCTGGTGGCCAATTTCCTTTTTAGTCTTCGACT